TTATCAAGTTTGTGCACACTAAAGATAAGGATTTACAACTTCTAACATATAAACAAAAATGACTTTGGTACTTTTATTGGTAATATCCACTTCATCTTTTATGAAATCTGGCGCTAAGGTTCATTAACATTCCAAACAGCTTATCAACATCTTCATGCCATAAACAATAACACGTGCACTTGAATTATCCGATTATAACCCGAATGCAATTTAGCTCAAGTCTGCCATCAAAGTTAACTATAAAGTACCTAAATAGCGATTGCTGTAGACGGGCAACATCAGCTAAAAGAGACAGGCAAAGAAACAACTTATCTCTCTGAGAGATTTAAAGTCATCACAGTTCTGTGGAAACACCCGTTGGGGTAGATGTGAGAAAAAAAGATGGATCTTTTTCTGAGAACGGAAAACACCAGCCAGCTGTCTCTCATTAGGCAAACAGCATCTTCCTGTCACCAAGAGACCAACAGGGAGGATTAGCTGTGATTCGACTGATAGACTAACGCACTGGGACGCTGCACCACTGTATGTAATAGCTAAAAGGATCATTTGATAACGACTAAACCTGAAGAGATGCCTTACAATCGATTAGATTTTACTTATAGGATATCTGCAAGATTTGTAGAGTGGCTTCCACTGACTGAGGGCTCAGTCTTTACAGCAAAATGACAATAGATCTATGTTCTTCCTAAAAGGTTTGATAGTCCAGGAAGTAAACATGATCAAACTGATTCAACTTGGCTGATAAAGAAAAAGAAGAAAACCAATTCAAATAGTGCTTGATCAATCACATGAATTATCAAGGTTTATGGGAGCTGTATGGGAAACTGAGACGTTTCCTTATTTCTGGCTGGCGTTCCCCTGTTGTCTCACAGGCCTTAAAATCCACAGCCAACCAAGAGAAACAGTAAGACAACAAATATTTCACCACAGAGGCGATCCTTCTGTGCACTTCAGGCCAGCACAAGGAGAGAAAAATCAGTTAAATCACTGAGGCCACTTCGGTATCTCATAAAAGTGCTCTCAAAAACACATGTTTTTTTTTTTTATGTGTTGCCTTTTATCCAGAAATGAATAATACATCCATAATTTTCACTTGAGAGAGTGACTAAACGCTCAGGTTACACACCCAGTGTCTCTGGGCTTTTGAAAGAGCCAATAAATCAATATTCACACTCTTGCTTACAATTAATTGTGCTTTAAAGTTTTACAGAGTGTTTATGGTATGGAGGGCCTGGATGATTTATGTGGGCAGCTTGAGTCACTCCTTCTAATTGCTGTTGTTTTCCCAGTTTATAACCCCAACATGAACTCCTAAAAAAAAATGCCAGAGCGCCAAGAACTGAGCTTGTTACTCTGTTTCAAATTTTGAACTGTATTGTATTTCAACAGTTATATACCACTTGTAAAAAATACTCTCAAAGAGGCATACACATCTCAGTCAGACACTGACAGTTAAATTAATCTATCTACAAAGATGAAAATGAGTCCAGCTGGAAATGTGTTCTCAAATAGACTAGTTTTGTTTATCAGACTAACTCAACATGTCCAAAGACTGTTGCAGCATTTTGCAAACATTGGAATTAAGGGGCAGAAAAAAAAACTGTTTTGCAAATTAAATCTATGTCAAAGTAGATCATAATTCTCAGCAAGAAAATCTGACCGAGACTTAATTTGTTTAAACGCAGAGCGTTTTTTTTTATAGATGTGTCATAAGAAAAATGAGACAGATCAATGCCATATGTAAAACAGATTATACAAATATAGAATGTAACAAAGCTGATGAACTAGTAACAAAACTTCCTTCCGTAGAAATCTTTTGGGTAATATTCTCTTGCCATGTTGACATCCGTATTGTTTGAGTTCTCTCTAAGGAAACATTTGTTCAGTAAACCCACAGAAGGCAGCTTCACAATGAGCTATACTGCGTGCTCTTTGTTATGTTTGAGTGCTTCGGGGAACTCATAACTCTTAAGCAAAAAGATGAACAAGGCAATATGCTATTCGAGGTGCATTTGAGGAAGCAGAAAAAAAAAAGGAAAGAAAATGTATCCAAAATAGCAAAATGCCCCCACTTCATCCAGATCAGTGTTGCGAAAAACCACAATCATGCGTCGCATAATGCACAATCATGGCTCTGAAGCCATGCAGTCCATCTTAGATTTGGAAAGCTCCCAACAGTTAGAACTTAAAACAAACCGCGGTCTGCTGCAGAGTGAAGCAGGTTAGTGTCTGGGAGGGAAAAAACTGTACTGAAAAGATCCACTTGAGGACTTTCCTGGCTGTGTCACTGTCAATTCCCTTGAAGAACCATTACCTTGTGTGCAGATATTCATGGGACCCAGAAGCTGGCTCAAGCCACCCTGCAATGCAATCTGCTTCACATTATATGAAGAAGAAGAAAAAAAAAGCAACTCGTGTTCATGCTTAAAAATCAAGTCAAATACTTCATCCAAGGAAAATCTAAGTGACATCCGAGGAGCATTTATACCCGCTGACGTAGCTACCAAGCTGCTCTCTGTAAGAGGTGTACACTTAAACATGTGTCAAAGAGTAAATGCTATTCTTCCAGTTAGATTTGCGAAGCACTTCTTTAGTTTAATTTCTTTACAAAGCTTAAAATCTGAAAACAGAATGTGCTGTCACAGTGTTTTAATAGACATGGCCAGTTTAACCCAAGAGTTTGACAGCATAATGTGGGCTTCATGGCAAAACAGAGTGGGCCAAAAAAGTACCACATGTATTTTCCAAAAGCAGCTCAGCACAGTCCAAATGACTCTATGTGGTTTAACGCCATTTCATTCCATGACCTCTAAGTCCTCAAAAAGAATTATCACATTATAGCATTCCAACACGCCCAATTTCCCAAAATACAACTCAAACAGTGTTTTACTCTGACTCTGCTTAGTGTTGTGGTTTGGGGAAAACAGTTCAGTTATGAGTGCTGTGTTTTTTTGTTTGCCCCAGATATTTATATCTTATTTTTGGTATCCCTACTTGTTGTCATGTTGCCTTTGTTTTTGTCCAACTGTTTTTAATTTATTTTGAGAAATGCAGTGTACTAAAAAGGAAATAAAACTCCTTGATCTGATTGCTTCTTCAAGCTCCAGTTAAAACATTCAATACAACTAATCATGACACTCTTTGCAAGTGATGGTCAAGTGATGGTATTTAAGAAAAAAAAAAGCTAAATTATTCAGTGCAAGTAAAAGTTGTTATTCTACTGGACCATAACTCCTTCCTTTTCCTGTGTTGGCATATAGTATTCTTTTTTAATTCAGCAGTTCTCATAAACAGGATTCTGTAGGAGTCCCCCTTTGGAGACTATGGCTATGGACTGTCTGGTTGTGATTTAGGGAACACGGAAAACATTGGGAACGTATGAAAACTTATGATGTTCAGATTGTGCTAAAGACCATAACTGCTTTATCAGAGCCATGTGGCGTCGCTCACTGCCATGCCACAACGGCATGATTAAAAAGGAGTTTAAACTGTGGTCACACTCCATCCCGATATGACTCAAGAGATGTCTCCAAAGGTCGGTGCTGTCTCTGTTCCAATACAAAGTAAGAAGGATATCGAGGGGGCTCTTTCTTTAAGGAAAGGTGTGGACGTGTATCCATGTAGCTTCATTAGTTATAGTTTATCTGTCCTGTTTATTCAAAGAAGAAAAGTTTTGATGCACTAAAACAAAAACAAAAAACTGAAGCAAGCCAACAAAAAAAAAAAAAACTTGAAAAGACATATTTTAAAGTCTAATTATTCCTCTCATCCAGCATTTATTTCATCCAATACTTCCACTAATTGAGACTCAAATGGTAGTGCAAGAGACAGCAAGACAGCTAATTACCATCCTTTGTAATGAAGCTAATGGCAGACAGTGTACAGTGAGCAGCACCCCGCCGCACAGGACATAAAAGCAAACACAAATATCTAATTATGCCATCATCTCTCCACGCTCTCCTGTTCCTGTTGCAGACGTTTAGCTAATTGGTGGCCTGCACTATTGGTCAGCTTACAATCACTGCGATGATGTGGACAATTAGAGCCAGCAGGCACTCATGGCTCATCAAGTCAGTGGTAGTTGACACATCACGATTCATGGAACTCAAAATAAACATCATCGAAATTCTTTAGCGAGGCCAGACGTGGAAATATGCAATAAAAATGCTCTGCATTCAGTAAAACGCCGCTAATAAATAGCTGGAGGAACAAAAGAGAAATATGTTCAGCAGAACAAAATAATAAAAAAAACTGTTTAATGTAAGGCAGACACATTTTTATCAAAGCTATAACCTTTTAAATTGCATAGGGAGTAAATAATCATATACAGCAGGTTCAAAGACACAATGACATGAAAACATACACATCATGTCAGCTAGAATCTGTGATTATCTCTCTTTTCATCAAAGCCTTTGGTGACAAAAGCAAACATTTCTTTTCCACTGACAAGCTATGTAAATAAAATCCTAAAAGCGACTTTACCCTGCCGGAGAGCATTGTAGAGGTCCTTATTTTCTTTTCATACGAAGTGGATGAACACTGTTTTCACTCTACTTTACTGCGTCAAACAAACACTGCAGACCGAGGTTAAATTACTTCAGTGTTTTACCAGTTGCATCAAGGATCAAGAGCAAAGCAAAGCACAAAGTGATACTTAGAGTACCCGTCTTAGCTCATTGTCTAAAACAATAAATGTTTTGTTTGCCTTGTGCACTTTTAAACCCATCACCTCACATGCTTCTGATTTGTCAATGGCTGCCTCCAGCTGAGAGACTCTGGATCCATTTTTACCTCTCAGGCTCACTGTGAGAGCCCCAGAGACCTTGAAATGTCAAAGATTAGCTGACCCAAAACAATAAATATTTCATGACCTCACAATTACATTAAATCAAATTTGAGCAAAAGACCTTCATTTATATTGCATTAAAAAGGGGGAAGAATAAGAATATAAAATTAAAGGGGGGTGAGGTTATATTCACAATACTCCCAAACTCTAATTAGTCTATGATGTCTAAAAAGAGAGAGGAACCAATAAGAGTACGGAGAGATAATTAAGCGATTGTGTGTAGCATGTACATGAGCTGTCATTCCAATTGCCAGTGATGTCACACTTGGCAACACAAGTGCGACAGGACAGCCGCTCGTCGTCTTTGATCTGGGCTCATGCATACAGAATCAGGTCAGGTCGCGGTCGCACTCCCACTAGTGCACGCACACACACACACACACCACACAAAACACATGCACGCACACACGTGCATGCACACACACACACACATGCTTAAAGCTGTAGAAAAGACAAAGTTTTTCAAAGGGGCCACAGCAGCAGGACCTCTGTAATAGGACGCTGACAGTCAGGCATGCACAGGAAGAAAGGAGGGATAAGGGAGTTGAATAGAAAAGGGAGGGAAGGGATCTATGTGGAAAAGCCACTCAATACTTCAGAGGGACCACAATTTAAAACAGTTTAAACATTTAGATAAAAAGAGCCTGACTTACAGCTTCCGACTTGGGTTTGACCACTTTCATGAATGCTCCTCTTGCTCGTGCTTCCAGCAGTTCTTTTTTGGTGACTTTCCTGGTGTCCAAAAACTTCAGTTGAGGCAATTTGAAAAGAACAAAGTATCTGTGGAAAAAATTGAATTGAATAAAATTAGCTGCCTTAATTGGCCTCAGTGTAAACAGAATACAAATGGATAAGGTAAGAGTGCATAAATCACAATGTAAAATTTAAACAAATTCTTACACGTAAATTTTATCAGTCAACCTTTTTTTTTAATACTATTATTGTTATGATTATTGAATTTATTGGTGATAAATATTTTTTCTTTATATATGATCACCTTCAAAAGCCAACGAGTAAAAATAGCACACATTAAGATTCAAACAATCTGCCAGAACTATCAGTCTGACAGCATCACAGATATCTCACAGATATTTTAGACACACGCTGTCTTTCATTGGGAGGGAGAAAAACATCAAAAGATAATGGCTGGAATACATAGATGACAACAGCTCCTTTCACTGGCAGGCAGGGTGAGAAGAACCAGTATGTCAAGGCGGAACTGGTAGCCAAAAAAGACACACATGCAGCACCTAAGTGGAGGGTGAGAAAGGACGAGGGATAGGGGCACAGACGAGACCTTTGAGAAAAGAACTGAGACAAATTGATGATGGTGATGGCCATGAGGGGGGATGCAGAGTCTGTGTCAGGTTTTTAACATTTTTACGATAGTAAGAAGTGGATTTCAGGATAAAAAATTGGCTGAACGGAAAGAAACAGACAATATTTTCAGGTAAATCATGAAACAAGAAAAAAAAAAACGCAAAGCTGAAATGAGAGGAAAGGTTGTTTTTTTTGGCTAAAATGAAAATCATTGTGTATCACACGACTACCTAAAAAAACATTGTGGTTAGATAAAAAATGACTTCTTCCTAAGAACCCAATTTTCAGGCGAATATCCCGGCACTCCAACTCAAGAGGCCTTATTTGTGTCTCCCACTATGTAAAGGGACTTTGTTCAGGGCATCTCCATGATGAAATGTGAAGATGCCCTTGGGAGACTAGAGGACAGGTTATTCTCCATAGGTAACCTGTCATCAGAGGGTCAGAACAGTTGACAAGGCTCTGTCAGCTAGTGGGGATATTAATGATTCAACCCCAACCACAGAGGGAGGATAAGAAAGGAGATACAGAGGTCATGGGTGCTATGGGTCAACTGAGAACACTATATATACCTTAATAAACAATACCAAATATTATCGTTTATTTCTCTTATCAGCAGTTACTATGGAGTAAAGTAAATCCAGATACGTATTCTTTTTAGAATAGCATATATCATATCACAGATCCCATAATTTGGAATACTTCAAAATGACTTTCACATTTTTGAAAATGTTATTCTTATTCTATATAACACAATCACACTTAAAATAATTACCACCTTCTTTTTTTTCTCCAATACTTGTTATGTTGGTCATAAATCATGGGACAAATTAACAATGAAGTTACTATATGCTGAGAAATCACCTTTAAATGCATAATACTTTTTTATAAAAGATAAGTAATAATCCTTCCAGGAAAAGCTATTTTAACCCTAACCCTAACCCTAACTATAGGACAAAAAAAATATGTTGACAATTAATATGTTTAAAAAAAAAGAAAATAATATTTTTGGACATTCTGTGTAATTATGCTGCAGCTGCATTATGGCATGTAGAAAAGAGAGAACACAAAGCACAGCTCCTGTTTGAGGCACCACTGACTCCTCTTTAATCAAGCAAAATGAACTGATGACTCTCCACAGGGTGAGAGGTTAAAAGGTCCCAAAAAGAAATCAATCTCTAATGTAATAGATCCAGTGAAAGACAAAAACAGGATACATCAGCTTTTAAGTTGGCAGTCTCTGTTTACTCTACATAACCAGTAAGCATCGCAAATATAATTTTACGGGTTTGAACATCTGTGTATTTGTTGCACGGCAAATGGCCGCGGAGCCTACGCAGAGACAACGTTTAACCTCTCTGCACACCACACAGAGCTATGTGAATGATTGCTATATTTCTATGTCACTACCCTAATTGGGGTACTGAGGCAGCGCACCAGGGTCTCTCACTTGAGAGACCCAAATCTCCTGAGGCACTAGGCTGGGTATTTATTGCCCAAGGCCAGTGCTGTCACGACCTGCATACAGCCTAACCTTGTCAGACATGAAATCTGCATCACGCTCAAATTGATGTTTTACTATGTGACACATTATGAATATTACATTACAGGACCGTAGACGTTGTCAGTCAAAACAGAACAGCTTTCCTCGCCAGTAAGATAAGCATGCGAGGAGAGGGGAAAAGGGGGAGAAGGGGAGAGAATCTGAGGGCGTGGGGAGGGGGAAGAGGGAGGCAGACAAAAAGAGAGAAGAAAGATTATTCAAGAAAGGCATGGGTGGTAAATGATTAATAAGAAACACAGAGTCAGAAACAAGCACTTAGGGCTAAAACAGACAAAAGAGAGTATGCTTTTCGCCTTTTATCGCATTTCATGTAAAGGACCCTGACAAATGGTGGTCATATTGCATGGCTTGAGGCCTGGCTTGATGTTTAATGCATCATCTGCTCTGGTAAGGCAGGGTAGTAAACACTCATTTGTGGTGCTGACTAGTCACACATGAAATCCATTTTACAAACTGTGTAGAAGGGCCAGTTGACAATGCTTTTAGAGTGATGGGGTTGATGCTGCAGCCTTGTTATGAAATACAGAGGCTTGTGGCTGAAAAAGTGTCTCCACGCCCATTACTTATGAAAAAACCCTCATTGTTCAGTATGAAAGCTGGTTGACTAAACATGTGAACACAAAGAACATCATCTGCAGTTTCTTTCCATTTATCCCCTCACACACATTTATATATCCAGCTATAACATCAATTCTTCATTCATGAGCGACATCGCGATAGTTTGTCTGCGTAGTAACAGACCTGTATCTCTGGTAGTCGTCCTCATCCTTATCCGGGCTCACCAGCTGGTTGGGGCAGGCCTCGTTTCCCAGCAGGCTTAGGTACTTGAGTGATGGGGTCACATCAGCCAAGTGTTCCAGCAGGGCCTCGATATCAGTTAGGTGTCAAAGGGCGGATGTCAAGGACCTAGTGCTGTTAATTACATTAGCATTTACTACCCGCGCCGCCCCTCCCAGGCATGTCTGTACTAAAACACGTCACTGTCAAATTTACCGAGGTGCTCAAAGAGGCTAGTCAGTAGGCTTTGTGAGACTGGGCAGACAGAGGGGCAATTTAAGGTGCAGGCTTTGGCATATAGCACTGACACAATTTGGCTCCTGCTCTCACTCTTTCTCTCCACCTCTTTCATTTCCTAGGTGGCCGGGTGCAGAACAGTGACAAAATGATGGATGCCCTGTGGTTCAAACAGTCCGTGCTTCTCAGAGCTGTGCTGTGGAAAACTTTTGCGAAACGTGGAAAAAACAAACAGCCCCTAAGCAGGCACATTCATCACTAATACATTCAGTTGGAAAATTGAGCCCCAAAGTGTCAAAATACAACTGCACTAATGCGGTGCTCGAGCTTTAAAATGGCACTCTGCCACGACAGGATGTACATAATTGGCCTATTAGCATGTGCCGACCACTTCACAACCAAACTCAGCACAGAGTCCCAGATGCACACTTCAAGGAGTCCCAGTTTTAATGTTGACTCTTGAAGTGTGTGTGTGCGTGTGTGTGTGTATGAATGTAGGGGAGAGAACAAGCATCGTTAACCAGCAGGATCTGCATAAAAGAAAAAGCAGGACACATTGCTGAACCTGTTCTGCGGCTCAGAGAGGAAGTGTATACTTTTCTTACTCATCATAAAGAGCTTAAAAATGTCTCCTGAATTTACAGTGACAGAGCTCTGGTTTTCACCTGTTCAAAACACTTAGCAAGCAGAACATTCAGAGCAATTTTAAATGGGGAAACAAACCATAACTGTGCACTGGTACATTTGAAACAAAGTTAAACTTGAGGACAGAGTAATGAGTCTTTTGCTGCAAAAATATCATATTTTTTCTTTAAATATATATAAAAAATAGAATTACCACACATAAATTAATTTCTGGAATTTCTCATTCTTGGTGAATTTCTTTAATCCCCTTCTCTTTAGTTCCTTCAGTGACATATGTTATGTTGACAGTAGGCTCCACTAGAGGTCCCTGTGGTTCAAAAACTAGTCGCGTAGAACTGTGTGACAGCCACATTCCTCCAGTCTTTTGCAACACAGAATACTTCCTGCAAAAAGCCATTGCGATACAAAGTGGCTCTTTGACACAATAGAGGATTGTACTTACAGAAGACTGCAAAATAAACAGGTGACTCTAAAACTGACATTCGTAATTCCTTTTTAAATTGCGTACTACTTCAAAAGTTATGATAAGAAAAAAACATAAAACTGGTCTCTTCAAAGGATATTTGATTCTTATTAAGTGTCAAGGTGTGGAGGTTGGGTAACCTTGGCAACTGGAGATCATTTCCAAGCAGGTTGTTGTCGACGACCAGCTCTTCCAGCTCAGTGAACAGTTTGAGGCCCACCAGTGACCTGTAATGATAAGGAAACCGGAAAACTGTTATGGCTCCAAATCTGGTCAGCTGTTGTTCAGGAATAAATATTTCAGTCTCTTCACACACCGGGAGAGTATGGGCCTGGGCCTGTCAGGAAAGTGAATGACAAGAATTAGTGGTGCTGAGCTCCCCTGGCATGGTGAGGCATGGTGAGGCATCCTTCAGCGGCTGGCAGGATGAGGGATGGGGGTCACTTGTGAGTAGCCAGGATTCAAAACAAAAGGCTTCAGAAATGCGGTGAGCAGGATGAATTTGTCAATGTCTTGTGCCTTGAGGCGCCCAGTTTCGCCTGACCCTAACCCTCCATTCCCAAGACAAATCACTCTGTCACAGTTCACCTTCACTCCCCAGACACAAATTTAACTTGTCATCCATCATTTTCACAGAAACCGGAATACACTCACAATCACAGATGGAATAGAGGGGCAAACTTTTTTGCTACTGTGCCATGATAGGGTTTCGTATTGGGTTTCCAGTTGTTTTTGTTATTCATTCGAAAGCTTTTTGCCTTACTACTGCATTGACACACTGCATAGGGGTGAGAGGTCAACTCAGCTCCTTTCCTCCCTGTCTCTCTCACACATATACACATTAACACTGGAATAAAAATGACAGAGGGTGGCGTTAGAAGTTATGTTAGGGCCCTGCAAAGTTCAAGTCATAAGAGCTTCAGAAAGGCAGTGCGTGAGTTGTCTAATCCTTCACACTGTCAGCATACCAGGTTAAGGTGTCCTGGGAGACTTCATTGATATTTGAAACCGAAAAAAAACAAGCAATGTGTTTCTTGAGGGCCAAAATAGCTCATTTTAATTTGATTTTATTTTTCTAATTAATAAGATATGCAATGTTGATTATTTATTCAAAGCTAAAAATATTCAGAATAAGGTTATGAACAAAAGTAAATAGAGATAACAGTAAAATATATAAACATTACAGTGAAAGCTTTGTTATACTACTTAGTCCACAATGTAAAGGAAGAGAATAAAAATTGTATCACTATGTTGACTTGTTAAAAAAAAGTGAATTCAAATATGTATATTTTTTCCTGGTCTTTTCTGTGCTTTTTCCAACCAATTGCCATTCTACCTAGACATAGCAGTCACTGATCAGAAAAATCCATTGACACACAAAGCGGAAAAGCTGCCAGAAACTTTGATCAACAAAGGAAAAGGCTGTAGATATTTTCTCGTGTGGAAAATTACATTTCAGCAAATTCATTGTTGACTAGCATGCGAGCAAACTGAGAAGATATCAACATTTTGAGAATACACACACTTGATACCCACAGCAAGAGCTGACAGATCCTCGCTGCCATTTTGGCAAAGCTGTGAGCTAATAATCTCTCCCCAGGTCAGGTTTAAGGACCTGAAACCTGGATAAATACAATTCAGTTTACCCCTTTCTACCTCAGAGTGCTTCTCATTTAATAAAGCATCGGGGCCTACCGAGCTATATCATAGGCAACAATTATACTTTTTGAATAGAACAATCAATTATTTTTCTTTCTGTAAAATTAATGAATTAACTGATTTGGGCTTAAAAGCTCAATTTTAAAATTGCCTGCTGAAGAATAAATTTGCACAAGCAATTGAAAACTAAAACATAACAATGGGAAATGCATTTGTTAGATTTTCTCCTCACTGATACAGTGTTATGCTAATTCAGAACATCATGCAATAGATCTGTAAGTAAAATCTTTGTTAATGTGCAGTGCCGCACAATCTTTCGCCATCTTGGATAAACATTATTTAATTTACTGTGAACAAAGCCCGCTAACAAACTACTGCCACCTGTGTATGCATGTTTGTGTGTGTGTATGAGAGTGTGTGTGTATGATAGGCTGCAGTCCTGTGGGTTATGCTATTAGCTGCTCGGTTAAAGGGAGCTGCATGGCACAGGAGGGAGCCTTATTAATTGTTGTTTTCATGTCACCACCACTGCGTGCACTGGCTGATTTAATCAGTTAAATTCACAGCCAGGGGAGAGCCACTAAGTCCCATCCAGCATTAGCTGCAGTGCAGGGATTGAACTTCTAATACTCTCCAGCTTTCTGTGCTCCCTCTGTAGACTTCCTGGTTTCATTACTTTTTATAAGCTTTCTTGTTTTAATGTGCAGCTTGAAGAACTAACAAAGTTTAAGCACTGCAGTAAAAATTACTCCCCCCCCATTTCAGAAAATGAGTTGCTGTGCTTTTAACGAAACTAATGAGAATAACGGACTTGAGTCAATATGCTACTTAGATTTGGTAAATGGTAAAGCGCACCCAAAAATAATTCGTCAAATGCACATAATGTAATTCTACTCTAAATCCACTCCTTAAGAGAATGTTACAGTAATACTGAAAATGAAACGATTTTGTATTTCATAGTTTTTTAATTACTTATTTCACAATACTGCAAATGTTTTATTTAGGCTCATGCACATATAAAAAACACTCTTATATATGCTAAGAAAAACAACTTAACTTCATCGAAGTGTAGCCAAAAATACGATTGCCACGTGTGACTAAGTAGCATTTTCATAAACCTCTTCCAAGCACAAGAAAGGAAGAGACAAAGAGGCGGTCTCTTTAACGAGGTGAGGAGATGAATCCTCTCCTTGTTAAGATAATTATGATCAGCCTCAATGTCAGAGCTAATACCTCACACAGGCTGTCTTCACGCTTTGACTGCCACTTAGCCTGAGTAAACCCACCATTATACATCATGCAGCACTGTGTGCATCAATGTATGTGCTTTCAAGCTTGCATAAGTAGTGCATGTATGTGTTGAAACCAATATCATCTGCAAATATCCAGTCTACTGTGCAACAAGAAGATATAGTCATTTTTAGCTGGAGCGGGAACTCAGCACAAGAAGGGGAGGATGTGAGAAAGCAGACAAGGACATCTGAGAGAAGACGCTGACCCAGGGAGCAGCCCTGCCAGATCAATACACTAATACTGATGCAGACATTGTGATTGATAAACCATTGCTGACAACAGAGGGAAGAAAACTCTCGACCATTATTGGCTGAAATGTCAGTCACTCCTGCCAATGGTGTGCACTGGTGTCATGTCGGATATCCTCAGGCAGAACATGAAAAATGGAGAACAGCAGTCTTGGCTCTTTTACACGAGTTACGCAGTGCCTGTTGTTATGCCTGATACTGTTGGAACTGCTGCCTAAATGGATTCTTGTTGTTTGTGCTCCATAAACGATGAAGATATTCGCTCCAAAGTTGAATTGGTGAGAGTTAAATTTAACAGTGCCATCATTTAAAAGGCTGCTCTGGTGAGAGAGTGCAAAAGCAACATCCAGGCTACAGTTCTTGAGTGTAATGTATTCCAAAAAGCAGAGAAATATCTTTAAATAGTTTGAGTAAGTAATCGACTATTTAGAGCCTACCATTTTGCCTGCCATGGTATACGAAAAAAAAGAACTGGACCCAAAAAATCCGACATTGAAACTCTCTTTAATAAACATAATAAAATAGGAGATTTTTTTAAGGACTGGCTTTAGAAAGGGATCGATGGTTTTGTTACTCTGTAATTCGCTGCTAGTTTAAATGTTAGAAGAAGAAAAAAACAAAACTTTTTAAAGAGCAGCAAAGAGGAGGTGACTATGAATAGCATGGAATTGCTTATTTAGTTTTGTGGCAGTTATGGAAAAGATAGAGAACACACAGATACTCATAGTTTCACAGTTAAACTGCACCACTGTAACCAACAATAAACAAACAGTATCATCAGAATCAGAAATGCTTTAATAATCCCTGAGGGAAATCATTTAATTATCATATATGAATATAGAAAATAAAGAAAATAAACTCAATTTGAATCAGCTGAAGACGAAAGACATTATCTACAAACAAAACTGATACCCTGCAAACCCTCTAACATCCCCCTCTACCACCTCCACACAGAGTCGACCAGGTCTGTTCCAGGGCTCTTCCCTCCAGCTACGGTTTAGGGCTTTTGCGTGTCTCCTACATGCATCTCTGATGGCAGCAGTGAATTAGACTGTCATTATCTGTCTTCATCTCCCCCTCAGCTCTACATCTCTCACCCTTTTTTAAATTATTTTTTTGTTGCTCACATGTAGACAGTCTGTGCTCAGTGTGGCAGTCCCTCTGCATCGCCAGGCCTCAGGTGGCAGTCATTTAAAGATCACACATCCAGGACACACATAGTCCTCTATGAATGCATGTCAATTTACACATTGAAAGGAGAGATTACATGTCTCCTCCCAGGCAGCTGCAAATTACTGTTAATGGTAATGCAAATCATTAGAATATTCAGTGCCACCGGCATATCTCTGTTTAATGTGGGTTTAGTTTAAACTATTTTAAATATTGGAACATGAGTTTTAATGTCATGTTATCATAACTTCAAAGCTGTCGATTTACAGCACGTCAGATTTTATTCCACAGAGGGTTATTTAAAAATAAAAATGAATACGTTTCACGCAAAGAATTCCAAGCAAGACGAAATCTGTGAAATATCATTAGCAAAGTTCTTTGTGGTGAAGAGTTGAATAGCACTGCTTATAGCTGTACACCACATGAAGTGGCACAAGAGGTGCAGATTCAGTTATGGAGATCTACACTGTGGAGTGTCGGACAAAAATGTAAAGCTCGTTTCTGTGTGAATGATTATACCTTCAAGAATCCTGCAGTCTCTGAGTTATAGACTACCCCTGTGGATGTTCCTGCTGAGTGTGTGAGGTTAATATTCTCTCTCTCAATGTCATTAGCACTGGCAGAGGGGGTGAGAGCACTGTGAATCAGACAGGGACTGATCCTATCAATTCACTAACACCACTCCTCATGTACGGGCGCACACACATGCACACGCACTCACACACACACATACACACACATAGGCAGAACCAGATCCTGACAAAATCAAAGTCACTGTACGGAGGTCAGTGTTACCTGCCCTCCTGCTTCCCTTTGCACCTCGGATCCTTGCTTGATTAATGATCCTGGAGCAACC